TACAGCTGTTCGAGTTTTATCTTCACCTGTAAATAAAATATCACTTACCTTTTTACCTGCCTCGTGTCCTTGCTTCCTTGGTCTGCTACTTTGGGGGTCGACGTTGTACAATCCTGATAGTCTTGCCAAAATTGTTTGCCAGGTTTTTAAAAGATAATTATTTTTCCTCAGAAATGTAAAAGACAAATAGTATCTAGATTTTAGATGTGGAGTTTTATAACGATCGACCTTTGAAAACCGATCAAAAGTAGGTTTTTCAAAAATTCTGTTTGTGACTCAGTAGCATGTAGGGAACATGGATATATAAACTATAAATCTTTGATTTACAGTTTAGAAGTGAGACGACCAAATGCAAAGTCCCCAGTTATAGCCCCCCCTACAGATAAACATGCCTATATTTTTTTCTGTCAAACTCGCAGGCCATAGTTACTACCGTCATGTAACTATTATCTTAGCACTGCTTGCAGTTTGGGCTGCAGCATGACTTTAATTTACATTAGAAAAAGAAAAATAATAATAATAAAAGAACAGTTTCAACAGAGTCATGCTCCTCTGAATGCATGGAATGCTGTTGCTTTACAGCTGCGTTCCCCTTCCTCTGCTGGCTTGGACCCCTAAAAATAAAAATGTACACAAAGTTCTAATCTAATCACGTTGTAATTTAATGTCCATGTCCATGTAGTGTGAATAGAAAATGACAGTTCTTGTGCAAACCAACTTCTGAACTGAGAGAACATGTAAATTACATGCAAAACAGCCTGCAAAGTCAATTCAGTCATTTCTATTGCCCCAGTTCACAACAAAAGTCACATCAGGACATTATTTAAAAAATTCACATGCACTACAAAATTAATATACTTTTATCAAATATGTCCCACAGTTTTGTTTTTAAATAGAACATAACCGTTAACACGGTTAACGGTTAAATAAAGTTACAGTTCTCTCTCGTCAGTATTCACTCAGCATAAAGGCCTGATTTTCCTGTTTAGACAAAGGCACAGCTTGTACTGTAGTACAAACTGGACTTTCCACTGCGTTTGTACAAAGTTAATAACTTCCTAATATTCTTCAGGAAGAAAATTTGCACAATTATGCAAACAAGATAGTTTACTAACAAATGCAAACGTTGCTGTAAGAGTTGTCTCATCGTTTAACACCGTTTGATGTACAGCAACACAATCATATGAACGTTTAAATTGTACATTTGTCCAGTTATTTATTGTTTGCATAATCACTGCTTTGACAGCTTGAATGTGATCAATGTACAGAACACACACGTTTTAAATGTGTTTGAAGGTCAAAACTGTCTTCAGGGTAAATTATAGAAAACATTTGGTCAGAGCTAGTTTCATGTTTTGCCATTAATGAAAGTGTGTGTGTGTGTGTGTGTGTGTGAGTGTGTGTGTGTGTGTGTGTGACAGGTGAATTGATGGTTTTGTGAGCAGTAGTTTTCCCCTGCGTCACCAACGGTGGTAGTGTGGAAGTTAAAACTTGGACGTCTGGTTGCGTTTGTGCTTTGGCATAGTGGAACTCATAATAGAGGACAAACTTGTGCACAAATAGATCCTTTATGCGGTCTCCTCTTTCTCCTCCTTCTCTGTCATCACTCTTCATCTCTCTCTCTCTCGCTCTCTCTCTCTCTCTCTCTCTCTCTCTCTCTCTCTCTCTCTCTCTC